AAAAAAAAAAAAAAAAACCTCCTTCATCTACATCAAGTTGTAGCCGTGAGTTCCTGAACACAATAATGCGCATTTCGGGCAGCCAGGGAGCTGAGAGAGAGAGAGCACGTGCACTGAGTCCAGCCATCTGGTTGAACCCCAAGCTCCACCACTAATTAGTAGGTGACCTAAGGCAAAGTTTTCCCTCTCTATGCCTCAGTTTCATCTTACAAACTGGAGATAAAAAAAATAGCACCTATCTCATAGCATTACAAAGGCCAAGAATAGTGTCCAGCCATGGTCAACAGTCAATAACTACAGACCCTTATTAAGAGCAAGCAGACGGCCAGGTGCAGTGGCTCACGCTTGTAATCCCAGCACTTTTGGGAGGCCGAGGCAGGCATCATGAGGTCAGGAGTTCGAGACCAGCCTGGACAACACAGTTAAACCCCGTCTCTAGTACAAATACAAAAACTAGCTGGGCGTGATGGCGCACCCAGCTACTTGTGACGCTGAGACAGGAGAATCGCTTGAACCCAGGAGGCGGAGGTTGCAGTGAGTCACAATTGCACCATGGCACTCCAGGCTGGGCAGCAGAGCTAGACTCCATTTCAAACAAACAAATAAAAAGAGCAGGCAGATATCACATACTTTATTTGTAAATAAACTTTCAAAGTTTACTAAACTGGCTGGGTGGTAGCTCATACCTATAATCCCAGCACTCTGGGAGGCCGAGGCAGGCAGATCACCTGAGGTCAGGACTTCGAGACCAGTCTGGCCAACAAGGTGAAAACCCTGTCTCTACTAAAATACAAAAAAGAATTAGCTGAGCGTGGTGGCGCACACCGGTCATCCCAGCTACTGAGAAGGCTGAGGCAGGAGAATCCCTTGAACCCGAGGGTGGAGTTTATGCCACTGCACTCCAGCCTGGGCGACAGAGTCAAGATTCCATTCCAAAAAAAAAAAAAAGTTTACTAAACTATTTTCTAGACAAGCCTGCATTTTCTACCAGAGTTTTAGAACCATTTCCCTAGCTAATTCAAACTCTCAAGAAACAGATTTCTGCCAGACTAGTGACTGAGGCCACCACAAGCAGCCCCTTCCAAATCTACTGACCCACTGACCAGTCAGAAGCCCACAAGCTTGCGGCGGAGGCACTGGGGTTTGACTACCCATCCAGAAAGGTCTCAGAAACTCAGAAGATTACCTCCTTGGGATAAGGGATGTAGCCAGCATAGGCCAAGACAAAGGTGCAGAATTTGTTGAAGTCTTCCACGGTCCTGCGCCTCTTGCAACTGGGGGAGTATTCCTATTAAGGGGAGAGAAGAGGGAATGTGTTTGAAGGAGAAGCTACTAGGCAGAATTACAGAAACAAAAGTAAGCTGGAACTTTTGTAGTCAACCACTCAAAAAATACCGTTAGATTTAAAAGGTCCACAAACAAGATAAGGTAAGTTCAGGTCAAGAAATAACACCATTTTCAGAAAGTAGAAAGAGGAGTATTAAAACTTTATGCCAAGAATGCGGGGAAATCAGCTGGGAGATAAAAATATGTACAAAGGACTATTTCTTAGAGCTCATGTGGCATTCTCTGACGTTATCTATTAGTCTCCACAGGTCTATCAGGAGAAGCTCTAATAACTACTTTTTTGCTACAGATTTTACATTCTGAGTATGAACTGCTGCAGCAGCTGTAACTGATGTTAAGCGATTCAAAAATCAACCACTCGCCAGTTGCAGTGGCTCACGTCTGTAATCCCAGCACTTTGGGAGGCCGAGGCGCGCAGATCACGAGGTCAGGAGTTCGAAACCAGCATGGTGAAACCCCGTCTCTACCCAAAATACAAAAATTAGCTGGGCGTGGTGGCGTGAGCCTGTAGTCCCAGCTACTCAGGAGGCTGAGGCAGGAGAATCGCGTGAACCCGGAGGCGGAGGTTGCGGTGAGCCAAGATCACGCCACTGCACTCCAGCCTGGGAGACAGAGCAAGATTCCGCCTCAAAAAAATAAATAAATAATCAACCACTCATTCTCCAGAGTTCTCGGAGACCTGGACCCTGGAGCTGATTCCTGGCTGACCCTGCCAAGCTAGCACCACCTGAGAACCCCTCTCTCGTGCTCAGAGGGTCCCCTCCGCTCTCCCAGCAGTTGGGATGCCAGGCACCCAAATGTCTCAACTCACAATAAACCAGGAACCTTACTGCGAAGCTTAGTCCTACATTTAAATGGAATAGTGGAGGTTTTTGCTCGCAGGTCCCAGCCCCATTCAATCTAGAAACACCCAACACAAGAAGAGATTTTCTCCTGAGAGAGAAGCACGGAGAGATGGAGCTCTTATTTGCTCCTAAGCAAAACAAGTGTGCTGTATTGCTGTTTATTCGCCCAGCACGTTCCCTGAGGTTCCTTTCAGTGCCTTGTCCGACCCACCCCCATTCTTTCCGAGGTGCTGTTACCCGGCCGCCGGTCTGCTGGGGAAAAGCCGGAGGGGAAATGGGGGGCAGGGGTCTCGGGCCGCCCCTACCGCCGCGAGGAGCAGGCGTGCAGCCCGCGGGTTTCCTTTCAGAAAGTCAGTCGCCTTAGAAAATTGTTTTCTCAACCTGATTCAAGCAAACCTGCTCCTCTCCCACCCGCTTGGACCCCAGGGCCGTCCACGGAGCGGAGGCGAAGGCCCGCGGTGACCGCGCTCCCCGCAC